GTTTTCGTATCATGGATCTTGGGTTGCACTTTATGGCATTTCTACTATAAAAATAATCCAGACATTTGTCGTGTACCTATTATGGAAAGAGTTTGGACTCTGTCTCTTTTGCTTTCCTTCTCTTTTTTCTTTGATGAATTGTTGTTAGAAACGGTAGACTGCGCCGGAAAGGATTCGGGTGGGGGAGCGTCTACCTCCTCTCCCAAGCCTGATGAATGGCAAATGGCGCTAGATCTACCGGATAATCAAGTTGTACCGGAATGTCTACGCTCCCATATTAAAGAAGAGTTAAGATACCTCTTTAATATCGGGCGAAAGACGACCCTTTCCGATGCTATGTTTGACAACTTTATTTCCCCCTTGGCCTTAGATGAGGCAAAAGTGGGTTTTGCTAAAGCTCTCCTTCAAAGAATAAATGAGCTTCAATTATTTCATTACAACAGAGCAGCCAGCTTCAAAGCTTACCTTGTGAGCTAACCCCAACTCTTACTGCCGCGGAAACCATATCATCCTATTACCTTACTATAAGAAATTATATCGGCAGGCTTGTCCCGATTTCATTGGCTAAAGACCGCTTTCAAGTAGGTTGAACTCTGACTCTTGTTCCCCAGGACCAGGGTCTGTAATGCTTACTGCCCTTACCAAGACCTACTCTCTAATCAGTCGAGCTTCAAGACCTTCTCCTTAACCGGTAATGCCAAGTCGTTAATCTTCGTCTGGAGCTATAGCTCTCCCCGCAATTCCAACTCGGCCAGAGAATCAAAGGACAGATGGTATGTCTTTCTATCCATCCTGATTGTTGGATTGAAATAGAAATAAGACTTTATGCGAGCAAGGTTCAAAACAAATTATCCGTCCTTCTATCAATCGAGAAAAGAAGCAAGCTAAAGCTTCACTATGGAAAGGGGCTGAATTCCATCCGCAAAAATGCTTCAGTAAAAAAGAGGAATGGAAGTAGGGAGAGGAAATCTAAATCCTATGTCTGGTCTAGCATGCACAATGGCCCATGAACATTGGGAGAAGAAAGCCTTTTTGTAGCAGATCTCAAAAACGATGATGGTTGATGGGCTTTAGATAAAATATCTTATCCGATTCCTCCCGGCCGATAGGAAGAAATTTAGGCTGTTACAACTCTTCGAATCAAAGATTTTTGAAGTTCGTAAGTAGCCCGCTTCATAACTATGAGACAATGGGGACAAAAGGATCACCCTAAGATGATCATCTCGTGGCTATTGAGAACGAATTAAATCAGATGGTTCTATTTCTAAATCTTTCTGTTACTTCGAAAGTAGCTGCTTCAGCTTCAGCCACTCGAATTTTCGATATTCCTTTTTATTTCTCATCAAACGAATGGCATCTTATTCTGGAAATCCTAGCTATTCTTAGCATGATATTGGGAAATCTCATTGCTATTACTCAAACAAGCATGAAACGTATGCTTGCATATTCGTCCATAGGTCAAATCGGATATGTCATTATTGGAATAATTTTTGGAGACTCAAATGATGGATATACAAGCATGGTAACTTATATGATGTTCTATATCTCGATGAATCTAGGAGCTTTTGCTTGTATTGTATTATTTGGTCTACGTATCGGAACTAATAACATTCGAGATTATGCAGGATTATACACAAAAGATCCTTTTTTGGCTCTCTCACTGGCCCTATGTCTCTTATCCCTAGGGGGTTTTCCTCTACTAGCAGGCTTTTTCGGAAAATTCTATTTATTGTGGTGTAGATGGCAGGCAGGCCTATATTTCTTGGTTTTATAGGACTCCTTACAAGCGTTGTTTCTATCTACTATTATATAAAAAAATAAAGTTCTTAATGACTGGACGAAACCAAGCAATAACCCCTCACGTGCGAAATTATAGAAGATCCCAATCAAACAATTCCATCGAATTGAGTATGATGATAGCATCTACTATACCAGGAATATCAATGAACCCGATTATTGCAATTGCTCAGGATACCGTATTAGCTATTCGAGTCAGAATGATATCGAACCGCGGAAAGAAAGACTTTTCCCGAATGGGAGAACATATAACATTCTTTCAGGAATGCGACTGACTACGACATTGATTGATAAGGCTGACCCGTCGACTATCAGATCAGGAGATGAGCCTCAGGGCCACCCCAGCGAGATCAGATCTTTGACGAGCCTGTGAAGTGGAAGGCATTGGGCCAAGCTACAGGGAAAAAAAATCACCAAGGAAGGAGTTTTACTCATGTGACGATGAACACTGAACCTAACAACCGAGGATACGATCACCGGTACTCAGAGTATATTACCAATCCTGTAACCGCCATTAGTTTGTAAGGGGTTCATTCCTATTCAATTTGCATCTCGAGTTCAATGTATTCATATTAGATAGAAAGATTCAATCTTCTTCTCTGTCTGGGAGTCGCTCTTGAATCGAATAAGTGAAGATACCACCCTAAATGGAAAGCTAGTCTTCTTTTTGATAGTAAGAGATAGAAATGCGGCGAATCGAGAA